TGTGGCTCTATTTAACGTGTACAACGATGACAAAAACGGTCGACGCCAACGATTAAATGTAAATTCGTCGACGACAAAAGAAGGAGAAAAAACAGCCGTGAAATATGTATATCTCATTATATTATCGAAGCGTGGCACGGTTGCGAATTTAATGCGGTTCCGCTATCAATGCACGATTTAATGAGTGGCCGAAACAATGCAACAGAAACTCACGGCCGCGCTGCTGTGTGCGTGCAAGTGGGCAAATAAATAACGTCGTAAATATGTAATTAATACGGTAATATAACTCAAATCGCAATTTATTATTACGCTAATCGATTTCGCGTCCCGATACAACAACGTTGCTACCACCGGGCGCCACAATTCGAGCGTAACGCGATTATAGTTCCTGGCAGTGTTCCATCCAACGACTAACGATCTACTTTACGTCGTAAAAAAGTGCCTGGCCACACTACCGACCGATGAGGAACGCGGACGATAAAGAAAGACGCGAGATTATCATTGCCACGGAAGAAAAACAACCGCGGAAAAAACTGATTATTTCCGCTTTCCCGTGAACGAGTTACCGTTTTCTTCAGATAACGATGAATCGACTGGTCTACGGTTTTCAAGTCCGTCGCTTCGAGACTAACCACGTCTAACCAAAATCTTTCTTTCTCTAAATTGACCAGAAACATTTGAACTACTCGAGGATCTGAATGTCATGAAGTACTTCCCGTCTAACTTTAGCCAAACCGAGTCCAAATATCGGTGCATTCCAAAATGTCAACTTCAATGATCGAATTAACACGTGGGATAACTAGCGTTTCTGTACGAAAAAATAACGAGCGGGTAATTTTCGAGTCGGGTGTACTCGCTGTTCTTGAAATTCTCTTCCACGAAAATTCTGATGCGGGTCGCAGCTCATAATGCATTCACGATGCATGACACCACGACATTTGCAAGTCTGAAATGGTAACCTATTTCGAGGCCAGCAAAATGACACGGTCGAGAACTGAAATTCGTACGGGTTGGCGAAAACGCGAATGTTCGATGCAACGACAACCACCGAAACGGTGTTTCGTTCCTTTTCAGCACATGTAGGAAGGCGAAACGAACGAGACCATCGATTAAACATCTCACACTGGGAGCCATGGATCGCGCTCGTTTGAAATCGGTTCTCGGCAGGGCACACAGCCTACAATTACGATGCAGTTCGTGGAGTTAATTGGCGAATTCCTTCGCTCGGTGAGATACTGCTTGCGTACGAACAAAAGGAACTTTATAAACTTTTCCGTTTATCTGGCAGAGATATGATTAGGAACGACCGCGAATTATCGCGCCAATTCCTCTTCCCCGCGGCTGCCGCAATCGCGCGCGACTGATAATGAGATTTCGGGACGAGACTGTTGGAGAACTGCTTTATAAACTGTCTAATTAAACTGTCAAATAATAATAAATTACACCGCTGGAATTAACTACTCGGAACATTTTTTCAAACTACATCGCATAACGCGTGATTGCATAATCGTGGAGATGATGCACAAAATAAAACTCTGCTGACAGAAAAATTCTGAAATAAAATACGGATAGGAATAATAACGTGATAAAAAATTCAAACGTGGTAAATATATTGTTTAATAGAATAAAGTAAGGTGCAGGTGAAGCAGAATAAAGGGTAACGTAGAACAAAACACTCAAACGCATAAATTAGCAAATGTGTGATAAAAGCTTGTTGCGTATGTAAAACTAATGATCAAATAAAACAATAAAATACCAACTACTGTCAGTTTTTAATACAACTCGAAGATGAAAATATAACAAAGATATTTAATAAAAAAATTGATAATATCGACAGTAATAACTGAGAACAAATCTTAAGACCTGTAAAAGAAATTTCCCTCTAAAGTAAATAAATTAGAGAGTATTTAGTACTATCGGTTTTAATAGATTTTAAGTAAGTTACAAAAGCGTTGAAAGAGAGAATTCAGGAGAGGAAAGTGAAAATAAGAGAAGGTAAAAGAGAAACACGAAGGATAACGACGACTCAAAACGAAAGCGGCACGTTGTCTGGTTGTCGCCCTGATCGGTACAAAGCGTCCGCGGACGACATTTCCCGGGAATCTTTTTTTTCTACCCAAACATGGAAAGAGTCATAAAAGCCAGAACCGGCAACAGAGACTTTCGTGAAAGCGCAGAAAAAGCGAGGACCTTTTTTTACAGCCGATATTGCCTCCGAACCGAGAAGCAATTCGAAGGGTCGTTCGTTTTCTGGGAACGAATGGTCGCTCCCTGGACTAAAATACAAATTATACCGAAGGATCTTCGAGGCAGATAGCGTACTGAAATTGGCACCGTTTTTGGTTGTATTTGTCTCTTTTTTTTCTTCCTTTTACCTGACTCGAAACTTTCTACTTTCTTTTTCTGCACCCCGTTGCACCACCGTTTAGGAGGAACGACAGGCAGTTTTCACTTTTGCCTCGAGTGGCGAAAAAAAAAAATGCAACACAGGAAAGTTTTAAATATTCTAGCTTCCTTCTTCTTGGCATCGGGCGATAATTTAAGGAACGTGAACGGAATGAACAGGGTGAATCGAGAAAATTGCAGACGCTTCATTAACGTTCGCGGATATCCTGGAATGTGGAAAAATATGAAAATCACGACGGGGCAACATTTCAACGGGGGCTCGTTGCCGCGGCAACCCCTCGAGATGCAGCTTGAACGCGAGTTAAATGCACGCAAACAGAATAACTTAGGAAATTATGAAGGCACACGCTCGCAGGTGGTTTATCCTCATTAAGTGTACCGGCTAAACTTAATTTTAAAGGCCGCCACAGCTAAAAGCCAGCCTCCCATTCGTAATACTCTTTAGCCAAGCATTTTCTTCAGGATCCCGTAACTTTCGCCCGATGATATATTAAGCTTAATGCGCGCTCGAGACCTCGCGGAACCCCGTTGTTCATCGTCCACGAAATCCATTAGCTTCGAGCCCCTTCAACCCCCTTTCTAAATTTTCGTTACAAAGAATTAAATCTCTACTGATTCTACAATTCCCGGACTAGGTTCATAATTTTCCACGATTAGTCGGAGAAGGAATTCTAACATCTCGGTAAAGATGATTGATCTTCATGGAAAATGAGGGAGCAGACAAGATAGCTGAATCTTATCCTCGATATCTGGACGATGTACGTAACTAGAAAGACTTTAAGGCAAACGAGAGTAGTTTTAATGCTGTTCAAATTACTAGCTTCGGGTAGAATATGATATTACGTAGAGGGGAGATAGAGTTGCGAGGTTAATAGATTTACCCTTCCGTGTGAGCTCCGTAAACATCTTTTTAATCCAGGGATAATTCAATCGCTCCGATAGTACTCTTCAATTTTTCCCCATAAATTCTGTTTTTAATTACCGACTCGGCGGAAATAAAATAGCAATCTATTATCAGGGTCGATGACAGCGTATAAGCGTTCGAGTTGGCTAACAACAGCCATCTCATTACACTTAACCTTCGATATACCGCTCCAGATGCAGCTAGTACTCGCATTACGGACGATTAAATCTAAACCACATCCTTCCATATTAAAGCGTTTATCGGCGATCACACGACTACCTCTTTAGCCAAGTACGCGGGTCTCCGTTGATAGTTGGAAGGGGCGTTTTCGATCAGGCTGGAAATTGGCCGCTTAACAGGTTAAACGGCCCAAAGGGAAACCGTCGAAGAAGATGGAAGAGCAGAGACAAAGGGAAGGGAAGCAAGATAGGAAAGGTCGGGGGTAGGGATAAAAGGTAGAAAAGAAGCATCGGTATCGAAGTCACTCACCTTTAATATAGCTGTGTACATTGCGGTGCTAGCAGAGGGTGGTGTGGATTGGTGGTGGGGTGGTCAGGGGGGCTCCGGTGCAGGGCGTACCCCTAGTTGGCCCCCTCTGGTCCCCCACCGGCCGCTTGCTGCTGGTGCGCAGC